TATGTTTATTTTTTTAGTGGATGTGCTCTTGGCTATGTTATTGAAAGGAGTTGAGGAAAGAAGGTTGTTGGGTCTCAAAATCAAAACAAGAATCCCTGTCGTCTCCCATCCGTTTTTTGCTGATGATTCATTGTTTTTTATTAAAGCAAAATAAGGGGGAGTCTTGGAGCTGTTGAGGATATTTCAGAGTTACTATGAGGTGTCAGGGCAGTGTGCAAATTATCACAAGTCTGGGATCATCTTTTCTAGCAACACCACTGAAGATAAAAAAAATTCTTACTGTCAACTATTGGGAATGCTGTCTCTCCCTCATTGTGCTAAGTACCTGGGAATCCCAATTGCCTGGGGAAGCTCAAAGGAAGAGATTTTTGGATATTTGCTTGAGAGGGTAGCGAAAAAACTTCAAGGATGGAAAAGTAGTTGCCTAGCACAAGCTGGCAAAGAACTATTGATAAAGACAGTTATTTAGGCTATCCCAAATTATGCTATGTCAGTGGTGGAATTCCCTAAAATTTTTTGCGAATGGTTGAATTGTTATGTTAGGAATTTTTGGTGGAAAAGGAATGAGAATAGGAGTGGAATTTGTTGGAGGAAGTGGGAAATAATTACTAAATCTAAAGCAGCAGCAGGGATAAGATTCAAGGATGGAGGCTGATTAATTAGCCTGAGTCTTTTTGGGCAAAGTTTATGAAGATGATTTATTTTCCTAATGTGGACTTCATGAAGGCGAAATGTGGATCTAGACCCTCATGGGTTTGTAGGAGTTTGCTTCACGGAAGAGAGTTGTTGGCCCAAGGAATTATGTGGCAGATAGGCGATGGAAAAGAAGTTAGTTTCTGGGATGATAAATGGATCCCTCGTCTCCCAAGTCTGACAATTTAGTCATGAAGCCCCAGAAGTGCTCTATCATCAAGGTGACGGATATTATTACGAAAAATCCCATTAGACGGAATATTTCTAGCTTGACTAGTGTGATCTTAAGGGAGGAGTTGAATGTTATCCAGGTCATCCCATTGTCAGTTAGAGGGGGTGAAGATGAGAGAATTTGGTGGCCAAACATCAAGGGTGATTTTATTGTAAGGTCTGGATATAGGTTGGGAAATAAACTAGCATTGGGTTCGTAGGAGGCTAGCTCCTCTATTTTCATCCATCCTAACCTGTGGATGAGTATTTGGAATATGACGGCTGTGCCAAAGGTTAAGCACTTTTTGGTGGAAGACATGCCATAATACCCTTGCTACATGTGATAATCTTTTCAAGAGAAAGTTTGCATCATCCTATCTATGCCAGATTTGTAACTTGGCCCTCGAGTCCATTGAACATATCATGTTTGAATGTGAATGGACCAAAAGAGTTTGGATTGGAATGGAGCTTAATATACAATGAGAGGAATCATCATTTGTGTCGGTGGCCCAAAGAACCTCTATGATCCTGTAGCTAGTGAAGGATGCTCAAGGTAGACTTGATGTTTTGGAGAAGATGACTACTATGGGATAGGTAATCTGGAAGGCAAGGAACTAGCTTATTTTCAATAGGGAAGAGGTTAATGCTTATGCCACTGTCATTTGAGCACAAGGAATATGGAATGATGTCTTTATATCTAGTATTGTGGAAATGTCAAAAGGACAGAAGGAGCTAGTGGCGAGGGAGGAGGGAGGAGGGAAGACAAGAAGCAGAAGTTGAGACCCTTATTGTTGTGATGGAGCCTTCAAGTCAAGTTCTGATAAAGCTGCATGTGGAGAGGTGACATGTAAGAAAAGGGGAGTAATTGTGGGTGGCAGTGCAAAGTCACCCAGCAAGATCTAGCATCCTTGCTGAAGTAGAGGCAGTAAGACAAGCTTGCATCCTTGTCGAAGCCCAACTGGTCACCAATGCAACAATTCTAAACAATTGTTTGAGCATCATCAAACTTAGCTCCAATGAAGATGTGCCTCCGTGGGAAGTCAGCGTTATTGTTAGTGATATTAGACATTTTGTTAGGTTATACACCTTTAGCTTTTTACACAAACCTAGGACCTGTAACAAGGCTGCTCATTGGATGATAACCGCTAAATTAAATAATTCATTCTCGCTGAATTAGATAGGCTCCCTCCTCCTGAAGTTAAGGTTTTTCTTTTGACTGAATGTAATCTCAATTTCTTTACTTAATGACATGAGAATCTGGTTGGTTGATAAAAAATAATAATAATAAACACATTAAAATAAAGAAGCAACAACAAATTAAAGAAAAAAAAGAAAAATTTCAGTCACACTCTTTTTAATTTATCATATTTTTAATGACATTCTCTTTATTATCAAAAATATCATTGACACTTTTCTAGTTTATATTTAAATATCACAAATAGTCCTTGTCATTAAACCACTATTTATAACAAAAATAAATTATTTAAAATACCAAAATTGTCCCTACATAAAACTCAAACAATCTTTTTTACATAAAATTCAATCTGATTAAAATTTATCTTTTTACATATTCAAATCCTAGTTGATTAAAATTCTTTTTTTTTTTACATTAAATTTGATTCGACTTGATTAAATTTTATTTTTTTGTGTATTAAAATTCGAGTTGATTTGAATTCTATTTGAACTGTTAGCTCCGATTAAAATTTTCTTCACGATGATTAAAATTTATATTTGTTATTTATTAAAATTCGATTCAAGTTGATTAAAATTTATTTTTATGTATTAAAATTTGAATCGATTAAAATTTATATTTTTTTATGTATTAAAATTCGGGCCTATTAAAATTGAATGTGAGTTAATTAAAATTTGATATGCGCCTCAAATAGAATTTTAGTCAGTTAAAATTTTAATAAATAAAAAAAATATTTATTAATCGACTCAAATTTTAATACATAAAAAAAAATTAATTAGCTCAAATCGAATATTAATTTTTTTTTTTCAAATCGAACCAAATTTTAATACGTAAAAAATTTAAAAAATAAAAGGGGTTTTATTAAAGATATGCCTATTTAAAGGGAGTGTGGATGAATTTTTAAAAAAATATTTCATTGCCAATTTAGTAAAATTGTATTTTAATTAACCCTCTTAATCTGATAGGGGGTGTTAGTAAAACTTTAAAAAATAGAGGGGTATTTTTAAGATATATAAACTACAAGAAATGTGACTAAAATTTTCTAAAAAAAAAAAAGAGGATTGAGGGTAGGAGCTCAAGTAAAACTAGCATCAAAGCCTGTCCCAACTCTTAACAGTCCAATGGCCCACGCTAGCACCAACACGGCCCCCAGGCCGGCCCATTTTCTCGTAACTCCATTGGGGTCGAAATCAACTTTGCCTACTTAAGTTTCATCAACAAATTAAGGTGGGGCCCAATAAATGAGGGTCCCATTATGCATTGCACGTGCCACATGTGCAATCACAAGCATTTGATTCCCTCCTCCGTCCCAACTCTCAATCATGCAATACAATTCTGGGTCTCTCTCTCTCTCTCTCTCTCTCTCTACACAATCATGCAATACAACTCTGGGTTGGGTGTGTCTCTCTGGATAGACCCATGTGGAGGCACGTACTGCTCCATCTCATCTCTTCCAATGTTTATCGATATAAAAATTCATACAGTGATGTGTATATATATGTATAATATACATGAATTATTTCATAATAATTTTGATATATTTCTCTCTCCTCTCTAATGGTGGAGGAGGAGAGGGAACCTTCCTAAGGAAGCTGCGGCTTCACATGGCCTCCAGCAACTTCAGCAGCAGGTATTGACACAGCACTCCATTTTTAAATTAAGCCCATGCCCACATGTTTGCATGTGAAATTGGGCAGTTTATTCTGTTAAAAAATGTATTTTGATGCATTGAGGAATGGCGGTTGGTGTCCTAAGACCATGATTGAACATGTCCGTGACCACCCTTCCCATTTCCTCCTGTTTCCCCTCTGTTCAATTATTTATCGGAAAAATTACAGTCACACCCTTTTTAATTTATTGAAATTATGTATCATAAACTTTTGCATCAGTTTAGTAGTCGAAAAAAGAATAAGTCGTAAACCTACGGGTAACCCAAGTAAGAATAGGATGATCCGTAAATTCAAACGTCTTGGAATTGAATCTTGGCAATATCTTAGCCCAAGAAATTTATTCTCTTGAATATAGTAGTCCCGGTGCGAGTAGTCCGCTTTTTATCGGAATAGAGAGATTAGTCGAGGTGCACATAAGTTATCCGACCTAGCCGTTGAACCCAAAATATATATATATATATTGATTGAAACTAAGTTCCATGGTAGCTATATGTATATTGTAGGAAACCAATAAAACTAGAAAAATAGTTCTACTTCTACCTAGAATCAACAACACTTATTTACCCCCCAAAAAAGAATGGATACTCTAACCACCAAAAATAGGGGAAAAGAATTACACATGTAACCAAGTCATTTTTATTTTATAGTAAATTTAGTTAAGCAATAGTTTAAATGAGTAACCCTTCATTACAAGGGAATTCTTGTGGATGAATCAGTTTGTTTCAATAAAAGTGGAAAACTTGAGTCATCTTGTTTGTTTTCTTTGTCTTGTTTGCCTGCAACAGGGAAGATTCTCTCTGGTTCCCACTGAATCATCTTAGAATTGTAAGGATTATTTCTTGATTTGTGCGTGTCATCCTTGGGGGTCATTTTTCTATATCATTCCAATTTTATTGGATGAACCTCGAAGGACATCTTAGAACAGTAGGGCCTTGATGAATGACTAACCTTTCCTTGGTTTGAAGATAATTAGTTAGCAAACATGAAAAAACAAAAAGACTAAATATTTGTATTTTAAGTCTGGGCTTCAACTATTTTTATACAGAGACAATGCAGACCTCTGGATCAATCTGTATTGCAATTTCCTTCTTTGGGTTCTATTTTTCTAGGGGAAAGGGTGAACTTGAGAGGGAAAATACTAATACTGTTTTGATTTGACTACTTCTGATGAACTTTGTTGTTTTGGGGGGGGGGGGGGGGGGTGATTACATTGTGTATGCATGATTGTTTGGTTGTGGGTCCTTAAAATTAACCTCAAGTAGTCTTGACTCATAATTCATGAATCTTTGTCATGCTTGGAAGTAACTTTTCCCTTGAAGAAAACTTGAAAAATTTAAGATTTGTTTTTTTGGGTCTAAAGGAAAATTTAGGATAAAATGTAGATCTAACTCATGTGATTATTCAACTTTGTGGGTGTTCCACAGCCATGTACAGTGCCCAAAGGAGCTTTTAACAATAAAGTATTGAATCAACTAGGTAAGGTGCTAGGCCATGACCTTAAGAGAAATTACATGATGCATCCCAAAAATATAGGTATTTATAGACTTCACAACCATTATATTCTCTTAAATTCATTGCTCAGCATTTTAACAGCCCTCTTAACTAGTATATCACTCCTCTTGTAGATGGTGAAATCAAAAGCGTAACAGCAGTAGGCTTCCAATTCTGCATCTATCTTTACATCACCCCCCATCAATCAACCAGTCCTTATTCCAATTACTTTTAGTCAAAACCTCAAAATACCTAATTAATGGAATTTCTAACAGAATTCAAATTCTGTTCTTTACATCAAAGCAGCATGAAAATGGATAGATTTCTGATAATCAGTAGAAGAGTAAAGGCAAATGATTCTCATCTGGAGGTCACAAGTTTGGGTCATGAAAACAGTTTCTCTACCCCTGTGTACATCTAACTCTCCCCAGATCACGCAATGGCGGGAGCCTCATGCATTGGGTACGCCCTTAGTAAAGGCAAATGATTCTTAAGGAGTTTCTTGAACCACATAAAAAATGAAATAAAAAAGAACTTGATCATTATTAATCACTTAAGTTGACTATCAGTAACATGAGAGGAAGAAGAAGAAACAATGTATCAGTAGTAAGAACACATTCTCTCCATGTTTAATGTCGGAGACACTACTAATAAGTCCAAAGTTCACAGTCATTACTTGCATATTAACAGCTGTTGCAGAACCCAAGATCTCACGAGTCCTCCCAAAATAACTAATCCCTGCATGAGATAATATTTGTTTTATATGAGTACAAACTAATCAACCAATCTTCTCTCCACTACTTTTCATATAACTCACACTATCCCCTACCCTACCCTACCCTACCTAACCCACCTTCTCTCTTGCTGTTTCTGAGAGCGAAAAATGGTGGAAAACTGAGATTAGCCAAGAACAATGAAGAAGATCAGCAATATGAAATTTCTGTTCTTCTTCTTCTTCTACTACTGTTGCATTGGTTGTTACTCTTTGGTGTTGAATGATGAAGTATCGATTTTACTATCGATAAAAGAAAAACTCATCGACCCATTGGATCGGCTCGGAGATTGGAAAATGCCAAACAATGGAGTGGTGAACAGTTCAGTTCACTGTAGTTGGACTGGAGTACAGTGCAACTCCAATGGTGCTGTGGAGAAGCTTGATCTCTCCCACATGAATCTCAGTGGCAGTGTATCGAATGACGTCCAATTGCTACAAAGCCTTTCTTCTCTCAACTTGTGCTGCAATGAGTTTTCATCACCATTGCCAAATTCTATATCCAATCTCACTGCATTGAAAAGCATTGATGTGAGCCAGAATTTCTTTGTCAATGGCTTTCCACTAGGTCTTGGAAGTGTGGCTGGTTTGACAACATTGAACGCTTCGAGCAATAACTTCTCAGGTTCTCTTCCTGAGGACCTTGGAAATGCAACATTTCTGGAAAGCCTAGATCTCAGGGGAAACTTTTTTGAAGGTTCGATCCCATTGTATTTCAAGAACTTGGGAAAATTGAAGTTTCTTGGCCTTTCAGGAAACAACCTTACAGGTCATATACCGCACGAGCTAGGCGAACTTTCATCATTGGAGACTATAGTCCTTGGGTACAATGAATTCGAAGGTCAAATTCCAGCTGAGATTGGAAATCTCACCAATCTCAAGTATCTTGACTTGGCAGTTGGCAATCTTGGTGGCTCAATTCCAGCAGAACTGGGGAGGTTATGGTTACTGAATACAGTCTTCTTATACAAGAACAATTTTGAAGGGAAGATCCCACCAGAAATTGGCAACATAGCTTCATTACAGCTGCTTGATCTCTCAGATAACATGTTATCAGGAGAGATTCCAGCTGCGATAGCTGACCTGAAGAATTTGCAGTTATTGAATCTAATGTGCAATCAATTGTCAGGTTCAGTTCCTTCTGGACTTGGAGGGTTGACTCAATTAGTCGTCCTTGAGCTATGGAACAATTCCTTGTCAGGCCCTTTGCCAAGTGACCTTGGTCATAATTCACCACTACAGTGGTTGGACATATCGACTAATTCATTCTCTGGTCCAATTCCAGTAAACTTGTGCAATGGAGGTAACCTCACTAAGCTCATTCTTTTCAATAATGCTTTCTCTGGTCCGATTCCTACTGCTTTAACGACATGTATGTCCCTAGTTCGTGTCCGCATGCAAAATAATCTTCTTTCTGGTACAATCCCAGTTGGCTTTAGCAAACCTGTGAAGCTTCAAAGGCTGGAACTGGCTAACAATAATCTGACTGGCCAAATCCCAAATGACATTGCTCTTTCTACATCTCTTTCTTTCATTGATTTCTCACAAAACCACCTTCAATCTTCTCTCCCTTCCTCCATTCTTTCCATTCCAAATCTTCAAAACTTCATGGCCTCAAATAATAACTTGGTAGGAGAGATCCCGGACCAATTCCAGGACTGTCCTTCACTTTCCGTCCTTGATCTCTCCTCAAACCATTTTACTGGAAGCATTCCAGCAAGTATTGCTTCATGTGAGAAATTGGTGAATTTGAATCTCCGAAGCAACCAATTAACTGGACCAATTCCAAGAGCGATTGCAATGATGCCCACATTAGCAATTCTTGATCTGTCAAATAATTCTCTCACTGGAGGGATCCCTGAGAATTTTGGGAACTCACCAGCCTTAGAAATGCTCAATGTTTCTTACAATAGGCTCGAGGGTCCTGTGCCTGAAAATGGCATGCTCAGAACAATTAACCCAGATGATCTGGGGGGAAATGCCGGTCTCTGTGGTGGGGTGCTACCTCCATGCTCCCAAAATTCAGCATACACATCGAAGCAGAGGAGTGTGCATGCGAAACACATCATTGCCGGATGGATCATTGGAGTTTCGACGCTTCTAGCTCTTGTAATATCTGTGTTTGGGGCTCAATCTCTATACAAAAGGTGGTATGCAAATGGAAGTTGCTTTGAGGAAAGGTTCGAAATGAGCAGTGGAGAGTGGCCTTGGAGATTAATGGCATTCCAGAGGCTTTGTTTCACTAGCAATGACATTTTGGCTTGCACCAAGGAATCAAATGTGATTGGAATGGGAGCAACAGGGATTGTGTATAAGGCCGAGATGGAACGGCTAAATACAGTTGTGGCAGTAAAGAAACTCTGGAGATCAGGAACTGATATTGAAATGGGAAGCAATGATGATCTTGTAGGGGAGGTAAATCTCCTGGGGAGGTTGAGGCATCGAAACATTGTAAGGCTGATTGGATTTCTTCACAATGACACCAATGCAATGATAATTTATGAGTATATGCAGAATGGCAGCCTAGGGGAAGCTTTACATGGCAAACAAGCAGGGAGGTTGCTTGTGGACTGGGTTTCGCGATACAACATTGCGGTTGGAGTGGCGCAAGGACTTGCTTACCTCCACCATGACTGTCGCCCACCTGTGATACACCGGGATGTCAAGTCAAATAACATACTGCTCGATGCAAATCTTGAAGCAAGGATTGCTGATTTTGGGTTGGCCAGGATGATGATTAAGAAGAATGAGACAGTTTCGATGGTTGCTGGATCTTATGGATACATAGCCCCAGGTGAGTTTTTAATTTTAATCTACAATCTGCAACAGATACAGGGAAATTGGTTTATTAAATCACTACTTAATGATCATTCAATTACATAGTGCCATTAATTCAAATCAAGAATGGTTTGGAAGAGATCTCTATGATATTGATTATTTGATTTACATCTAACAAGCATGTATCTGAATGGTCTCTTTGCAGAATACGGGTACACATTGAAAGTTGATGAGAAGAGTGATATTTACAGCTACGGGGTCGTTCTCATGGAACTTCTAACTGGAAAACGGCCACTAGATCCTGAATTTGGAGAATCTGTTGATATAGTTGAATGGATTCGAATGAAGATTAGAGACAACAAAGCTTTAGAAGAAGCATTAGACCTGAGTGTCGGAGGGACCAAACACGTCCAAGAGGAGATGCTTTTGGTCCTTCGGATAGCACTTCTTTGTACAGCCAAGCTCCCTAAGGACAGACCTTCCATGAGGGATGTCATAACGATGCTTGGAGAAGCCAAGCCTCGGAGAAAAAGCAGCAGCAGCAGCAACAATGGTGGGACTCCCACCAGCAAAGATAAGCCAGTATTTAGCACATCACCTGTAAATGGCCTGTGAAAACAAAATTGTGTTCTTCTTGTGCCATCATTTTGCTTCAGTCTCGTTTTGTATCTAAAAGTTCCTTGTTATAATTTGTTAAGTTAAAGTTGGTTGTGTCTAGACTATGGGGGTCTATGGGTTCTTTTTGCAAATGATGTTCCATTCTTTTTAAAAAATGATATAAGCATTCTTAATCAAGAACATACAACTCCATTGTACTTAGTAGTAGAAGAGTTGAGATGTCTTTCAAATCTTGTCTCATGATTCCCATACTTTCTGATTCAATACATCAGCAATTCAATTCAATCGTACACATTACATGAACGAGTCTCCTGTCACTGTAGAGTCTCGTAAGGATATAAATGTATAAATGCATGAAATCTTAGAATAACTCCAACCAGCATTTCAAATGACACCTGGAGCTCTCAACGACAACATTTGGCAGTTGCTTCCTCTCCAGCAGGCATCTAAAATGTCTAATTAGCGAAATTGAATTTGGCATTATGTCAAATTTGACATCAATTTTCCTATGAAAAAGATCGATTCCAAGACCGATCTTTTATTCTCAATACAAACAAGCCACTATAACTGAAAGTCATCTCACCAAAAATAGAAGCATCAATGTTTCACAAGAATTGGGGTTCCCACACTCCAGAAGCCAGGTTGATGTGATTTCAACAATCTCCAATCTATTGATACTAGAGTGGCATCATACCATTAAGTTTTCCATGGTTTCCTGCATATCCAACTCCAATGAACACTGACTTCCAACATCATTAAAATGATCATATTTAGGTGGTTGCATTAAAATCATATGGTCCAACCCTGCATTTTCTGTGATATTGAATTTTATATTAACATTTTTCTAACAAAGTGAATAATTTACAGTCCAAAGTAAATCGTTTACCTTTTCTTTCTTAGGGCCCGTTCGCGGCAAACTTCTATTCTCTCAACAAAGCTTCTTTAAAGGAAGCCCTTTCTATCCTGCTTCCTCAAACATGGACTAGCATATCTATCTCTTACTCAAGAAAATCAAGCTATTACTAAAGCAAGACCACTAATAAGAAATAAGAATAGCACTCTCAATGTCCTCCGTTACATTTTGCTTCCTTGCTTTTATGGCGAGCTTCCCATTACTCATCTATAGGGTACCACACGACAAGAAAGATTCATTAATAACCAACCATAGAGAAGGAAGGTTCTTTACCAACACCACTCTAGCAAAATTGACAACTAATAATCATAATGACGCTTCCCTTGCCTCTATTATTTGAAAAAAGAAAATCATTCAAGAATGTAGTGCACATCACATTGCGGGGCATATCATCGAGTTACCTTACGATTATCAACTTTTCCCGCGCCTCCCCTATACAAAAATTAAATAGATAAGCACATTAGGTAATTACTTGGCAATGCGATAAAAGGGTCAGAACCGAGAAAAACTAAAATTAGGTATATGAAGCCCCACCAAGCTCAACAAGTAGGTATATCAGATATTCTCACAAATAATATTGAAATATGAAGAAGAGGAAAACATCAGCATGTAACAGCACTGTAATGGACAGTTTCATACATAGAAACCAGACTAACTTATTTCCATTTGACGGATTAGAAAAAAAAATCCACTGTGAGGTAACAGCAAACTTAAAACCCTACGCACTCCTATACTCACAATACCAGTGAAGTATGCATGGGTATATGACAGATATAACTAGGACACTTGTGGCTTCCAGACAAGAGGACTCTCATGGAAAGCGGGTATACAACACGAGAGAAAATAAAGAAAGATATAGAGATGACAAAAAAAAAACCAGTGGGCCACTTCAGACCTATCATTACTTCAACAAAAAGATTTGACCATCCAGTATCTCGTCTTGTATATCATGCTTCAACTGAGGGTATGTTTTCATCTTCTATAAGGGCTTAAGATTGAAGTCTTTGTCTCCCCTTCCTTTCTTGAAGTCTTGGAGCTACAATGCAAAAAACAATAAATTTGATGTAACAAGGTGTATATGTCGGTCCTTAAGTGTAAAAACATTGTGAGGTGGACATATAATTATATATACCAAATCCATTAGCTTCAGATGTCCTCATGATTCTGAGCCGCTTCACAGAGCAAAGAAACATCCTGCATACAAAATATAAAAGCAAAGTCGCTGTCAGAACACCATTTCAGACTCACATTTTTTACCTCACAGAATCTGATTCTAAGATTACATAGGACAAGAGAACAGGCACTTTTTCCTACCACTGAAAAGAAGGGTAGGCACAAAGACCATGAATTTGATAAATATCTGAAAGAATCATCCCTAAGGTTGTTAAGTGGTTTTTAAACACTATGAATGATATTAAGTAATAAACTACATCTAACCCTCACCCTGTAAACTTATCATGGAGAGCAATTCTCAGTCATCCAAATTATCAATTCTTATAATCATTGCATTTAACATACAACCATGAACTATTTAATGAGGGTGATCAGACAGAAATTCTTTCAGCCGGTGCACAAGATAATAAGCATACACAGACGAGGTTCAAAATTTTCATTCGTTATTTTGCTACTTTTATTTAAAATTAATACGAAGAGTTTAAATTCCAGTGCATTTAAAAGAAGAATTACAACATAGTAGCTTAGGTGACACTTCTCCCAGGGAGGAAAAATGCTTAGAATTTATCTCAACACCTTAGAAAAATTACCGACCATTTGGAATTACACACGAGTTGCATGTTCTTATAAATAGAGTGAGTCAGAACTAACACTAACAGTATCTACTTAAGAAATATACGATTTCTTTTAAAACAAGAATCTACAATACATTATTAACATGAATTTAGGATTTTGATCCATATAATTCAGCTGTAGTCCTCCACAGGGAGGAAACCTCATGAATATAATGCTACCGAAGCATGATGGTCATCGGGTCTAAAACCATCCGACCATTCCAATCTTTCATTGGTTCAAGCAAGAAACACCAGTGTGCATCATGTGTCCAAGCCTAGGGATAAAGACTATGTGCCTCTGTGTGTGACTAGATAGGAAAATCCACTCAAAAATAAAGTTATGTGATTGACAGCACAGTGAAAAGCGTACCAGTGGTTGATTCTCCATCGAAATAAATAGGGAAAGTTTGTTTATTGTAATTAATGGAAGAGACATACCCCCAAGGAACATCACCAACAAGCATCCAATCTCCATCCTTGTCTTCATAAGTAAGCACAAACTCAGATGATCCATCCAAAAATTTTTCAGGGCCTGTTGCTTCTTTCATTATGTCATGCTCCTCTACGTTTGATCCTGACCATATGGTTGACATCACCATCAGTCATCAAACAAAGAAACATTGATATCAAAGGCTGGCTAAAAGAAATTTTCTATCATGTTATTTAAATCAAGAAAGTGAATTTCAAATGAACCTTCAAAAACTTTCACATTAACAACTCAATAATGCCACACCCTAATGTTTTGATCATTTGCCTGCTATCTTACAAATCCATCAATGTGTTCAACAATTTTCAAAATTAATCTGCAATCATATGCAACATACAAGAAAGCTGAGCAGGTGTTTCTTCTGGTTAGTGCTTTAGAATATAACCTTACAACAAAAGGAAAACAAATGAGCCAGCTTTTATAATTAGCAAAGCTGGCTATATGCTAAACCATAAGAAGGGCAAAAGACAAATTCAGAGTCAACTAGAACATCGAAAAAATCACATTTTAAAAAGCATGTCCAACTTACGTCGTGACCCAACAGAAGTGGTTGGTTTACAGAACATGTCATGCAACGTTTGTGCTAAGGTCTCGTAGCAGCTATGAGCATTCAGATCCACCTTCCTTCCAATCGGAATTCCATCCATATTCACCTTCACAAACAGGGAAGTCTTGGGATGCCCCCTCCCTTCAGCATCGTCATTGTTTGTGTTGCTTACATTGTTAGTTTTCTCCACCACAATATTCTGACATTTATTTTTATCAGCTGTTGAGTTAAATTCTTCAAAATTGGTGATTTTGCCTGATTAACCAAGCTATTCATTCGATAAGCTCTTATAGGCGGCCACCCCACAACCTGACTGCTTCAAGAAAATTACATGATAATGGAAAATCGTCAATTTTATTGGATAACAAACACAGACATTATTAAGTACCTAAAAATATAGTTGCATCAACCAAAAAAATGTTCACGACATACCCCCAAAATCAACACCTGCATAAAACACATACCAGAACTTATTTTTTAAGAAAGTAGTATTGAGCAAGGCACATTGACGAAGAGCATCCAGATAATTAGTTGGTAACCAGGCTCTGATGCCAGGAAACAAAAAGGATATCAAAAAAGATGCCAACTCCTAAGGATATAGAACCAAAAACTATCAATCACCAAAATTAAGATGCTACAATAGCCAACACCATTAGCCAAGTAAACAAGGTCAAGCGGCCAAGCCAACAATTCCACGTCATGTCATCTCCAAATGAGGGAACAGAAGGCAGTGCCATACCAACATTTTTGCTACCTCAAAATATCAGAAATAGTACCTTAGATGAAGCAATATCAAAGAATCCCTACCATCAACAACCAATAATGCAACACTACTATGGCAGGGGGGGACATTTTTCCAACAAGTGTCATATCATTCTTATAATTATGTCTTAACAAATGGAGTTATATAATTGCACACAGCACCATTTTGTGCTATGCCCATCAAAGCCCTCATTCTTAATAATCTCATACATCAATCAAATGGTTCCCTAGCCAGAGTTAAAGAACCGCGATTCTAAACAATTGGAAAAAATAAATGTGTAATCCTTAGAGCTTCCTTTGGATTTACCAGGTAACTGAATTATCAGAAAAAAAATGTTCCAGTCTTCTTTCCTCTTTCCTCTTTCTGGCCATCTTATATCTAGATCAATTCATTACAAGTCTCCAAGAAATCCATATAGCGTGCCATACTTTTGCCTTCATACAAAACTGAAGGGTTTTTATTATAGTTATTTCCTGTAAATCTTGGTTTTGTGGCTGTTCACTTGTTGTAGATTCCACCACATATAAGATGGGAACTAAACAGAGAATAAAGAAAAGAAACCCACAGAAGGCAACAAAAAACATTTCATCTCAAGCATCAAATTCCTCAAAAATCAAGAACTGAATGATAGAAAAGATACAAAAGCAGGGAGGTTCTGATCAGAGTAAAAATTATAGGCTTGGCCAAAAACATTGGAAAATCAAACAAATATGTGGAAACCCATCCAATTATTTTCACATTGGCCAGATAAACACATCATGATCATGTATAATTATTGCAGGAAAAGAAATTATCACTGAAAATCAGAGAGCAAAGCCACTTACTTAATACCCATACATGAATTCAAACAAGGGTTAAGGGGTAAGAAGAAAATGAAAATCTGAGAACACAAGAATGAAAGTTAAAAAGGTGGTTACCTGGAACCATTACGGGGAGGCGAAAAAGAATCAGCGGTTCTCTTGGTACCAGCTGAAGAAGCATTAGCTTTGGTCACAGATGAGGACGATGATGAAGATGGTGGTGAAGACTTGGAGACCATAGAAGGAAAATCTCTGGCCGTCAAGATCCTAGCATATTGACCCCTTGTAGCTGTTTTGCACTTCGCAATACCACCAAGACTCAAGCCAAGACCCAACTCAAGCTCAGACTCATCTGGGTATGAGGAAGAAACCTCACAGGACAAGACCAAGTTCTCTTCTTTAGACACCGTAGACATCGACCCATTAGCTGAGCCACCATAAGACACTATTCCACCACCGCCACCGCCACCAGAACCCAACAAACCCAGAGGACCTTCCATGACAAATTGGAAAACAAGTTGGATTCAAAAGAATTAGGACAAAGAAGACAAAGTGATAGCAACAAAACAGATCGGTGATAGGAAAGTGAAGGTTTGGTAGGTTTGGGGGAAGATTAACTGGAGAACCAAAGGTGGGTTTGGTGTTGGTGGTGGAGGGAGCGATGATGGTGGGGGACCCACCTGTCTGCTATTTGCCCCTCACTCCATCATCGATTTCTCCTACCCCGTCCCCCCACAACATCATTCCCTTTGATAATTTGGTTTTCTCGGCTCATGATACTGTCTTGAATAAACGGCCTAGTAGTCCAAAATCCAAATTCTCTCTCTTCCAAATTTAGCTCAACACGCTTTGTCTTTGGAAGTTAGATGACAAGGTTAGATTATAGTATCAAAAAATATATTTTAATATAATATAATTAGTTATTCTTTGTGTCTAAAGATATAAAATAATAAATAATAAATATATTTGTATTCATATCCAAAATTAAATCACAAACATAAAAAAGAGATAAATAAATTTAAGCATCAATTTGTAATAGGGGTGAGAGGTGGTGGGAGGCAGACGCAGTGATGGTTGTGGTAGGTGGCAATGACTGTGGTGGTGGCAACAGTGGTGACGATGGTGGTGATGGTAGCGACAACGACGGCAAGGGTGGGTGGTGGTGGTGGTAACAACAGTGATGATGAAGGTGGCAACAACGGTGGTGATGATGGAGGTGGCGACGACGGCAGTAGTGGTAGTGGTGGTGGTGGCGATTACAACGACGATGGTGATGGTGGTAGAGGTAGTGGTGGAGAGGTTTCAAATACTATTTTTGTTTAAAGTAGTTAAGAGAAATAATTTCTAAAAAAGTCACTCCAAACACATCCTTAGGTGCTTATTTTTCCTATTAAATTTAGGGTGTTAATGTTAGCAGTTAAATTAACTTTAAAGTAAAATTTAAAGTGATCTGTATCACAAAAATCAAAAGTCATTTTTGTTTATCTTTTGAAATTTAAATTGTAAGCTAATTTATTATATAGATAATAGTTTTTAATTATAGATATTGTTTCGATTTTGTTGTTTATACAAAATATTTTACACTTACTACATTTTGATTAATAGAGATAAGTTAATATGATATCAAATAATAATTTTTTGATATTATAGTTGCACATTTATTTAAAATATTTTAGGTATAATTACATTTGGACTTCTTGAGGTTTATCACTTATGATCCGTTTAGTATGAAGGATGGAAAGAATGAAGGAAGGAAAAAGTGAAAAGAATAAGGTTTCCATCCATGAAGGAAAGAAAGTTATTTTTCTTCTTTTTTGTTTGGTAGGAGGAATGAAAAGTAAGAGAAATATATTTTATATTATTTTGTATTAAATGAAAAATGAAAGGAAAGAAAAAACATATATGCCCAATTTACAATTCTATCTCTAAATATATTTTTTCACTCCAATAAGTAAAGGGTAAAAAAGATCAACTTAAAAATTATTGTCTTGCCTTCACTTTTTTCCTCAATTTTTTTGCCCAAATTTGGGCTGAAAATATTTGGTAGGCGGGAAGGATAGAGTTCCCCTCCCCTCCTCCTCCTACTTTCCTGTGATACTAAACAATGGAAACATTTTCCTTCCCTTCCATTTTTTTTCTCCCACTTTCCTTCCACTCATTTTTCCACCATACCAAACAAACTATTAATCACTCAGATCTCTTGACATTTGAAATATTATATACTGACCCCTTGAAATTTATATACGTGTAATACTTAGACTTTTGCTATAAATATATCCGTTAATAAATTATAATTAGATCCCCTAAAATTTGTATGTATATAATACCTAAATCTCTTAAGTTTAAAATATTATACTTAGACCAAAAATACTCTGATCAAGATAGAATATCAAATATTTTAAATTTATAACTAAAATTCATGTTTTATTGTATTATTTATTAAAATAAAATTAAAATTAAAATTTTATTTAAAAAAAAATTATAATTAGATACTTCCTCCGTTCCTAAATATCTGTCGTTTTACACAATTTTTTTTGTTCTATAATATCTGTCGTTTAATGAAACCAAATCATAATTAATATTTTTTCTTGCAAATTTCCCTTAACTTTTCAATGCATTAAATTAGATGGAGGTTAAGTGTCTTTCATATTCCTTTCCTTCTCAATACGTATTGAATAAAGATATTTTAGTCTTGTGTAATTATTTTTTACTCATATTAGACGACAAATATTTAGGAACGAAGGAGTACTAATTACTATTTTATAATTTTATTAGTGATAAAAATATATACAACAATAATAAAAATATCCATAAATATTAGTATGGTGCCCAAAATATTTTTCAGTACCATAGACTACTTCTTGTGTCATATTTGTACTAGAATTGATTTGATTGATGCACAATTTAGTTGTACTAATACGTAGCAAGGTTTAAATTTAACTTTTGTTGGGGTTATTTCATCCCATTTATCTAAAAAAACTCAAAATAAGATGTGCATCTCCAACATTGTGGCACACAAATGATTAACGTTATTTGAATTTAATTTATTAATTTAATGAATTATTGCTATTTAATTGACAATGAAATCCAATATACTAATTAGAACTCACTATTAATTTAATGAATGTGACGCATTAAGTCAACAAATAAGTTTCACAAATTAAATTAAAAATAATTCTCATAAAAATATGCCATTAGCAAGTATCTTAAGACTGGGCCTCAGCTGGACCCAGGGTTTATGTTAGCCCAGCCCAGCTCGATCCAAAGCTCAACCTAAAAGGTCCTAGCGATAATAAGAAATTTATCACGAGAATTAACACAATGTATGAGACACGAGACGAGAGGGCAGGGACAAAGAACGCTTTGGTCCAAACGACAAGCCGACAAGATGTGGGGACCATCAAAAAGGTCTCACAGGGCTCAATACCGCCGTTGAAAGTAGGGCCACGTGGAACGCGGGAAAGCTAAGCAATGGGGGTTCGCTAAAGTTACACGTTGTCTGGGACAGCTCAGAACCCCCCTCGCCCTCTCCCTCCCAAAAATCAAAATATCTTTTGGCAACTTCGGTGACCATTAATCGGTTACTCTAACTATATCACTAATTATGACTCAAATTTTTATTTAAATATAAATTAATATTTAAATAAAAAATTTAATACATAAACTAAAATTTAAAGTAGAACAAACTTAAATTTAAATAAGAATAAATTCAAAATAACTATTAAATTTTTAAACAAAGGTAAATTTTATCATTAATAATTTGGATAAAGATTTGAATCTCTTTTAATATAAATAAAAAAAAAAGTCTCTCTTGATTTAGTATAAATTTGATACAAAAGAGTTGAAACAATTTTTTAAATTTTTTTATTCAAATTTAAATTTGAGTCAGGATAACAAACCCTAATTTCTAAAGGAAAGTCTATGATTTACTATTTTTTATAATAAAATTATAATTTTATTATAAGAAGGTATAATTACTTCAGAGAATATCATGATTGATCACATACATTCATAATTGATCATAAATTCTCAGTATCAATCTATAGCATCCATAATTAATCATAATCTCTAAAATTGTAATTTATATCTCAAAAAAATTATAATTTAATCTTAAAAAATTATATGTTTTAGTACGATAGTACCATAGCCTTTACCATTTCTAAAATTATAAGGATGTAGTATAATAATAATAAGTACAAACATCAAAGGAAGTTTATGTAAAGTAATAATAATAATTTTCATTAAAAAATTATTTTAAAATTTTGTTAGATGTATTTCTCTCACCAACAACATCATGTCTCGCATCTAGCTAATGAATTAAATAATTTAAAAATAAAAGAACTTCTAAAGAGAAACTCAAGTTTAATTTTTTTTTTTTTTCCAATCAATTATAGCTAAATAGACTAATACTATAATATCACAAATATTTTTTTCTAAGTTTTTAGAGAGGCGCCTACTAAGGATACTGAATCACTTATCTTCAAATAGGTGGGTTGGAACAAGTCATACATCGGAATCATCAAATAGATACATTGTAGGGATAAAAAATGTGATTTTAGATCTAACATAGGTATGTAATTTAATATAATTATTGGGATTGAAATGACTTTCATTTTTTTTTTCAAAGATTAGTGATATTCGGATTAATTTACGTACATCTCGATTAATCCATTTTCTTGTCTAGTTAAAGGCAAATCATTCACACCAGAACAAAAGTATTCATGAAAGATAAATTTTTCTTAATCTGGCCCCCAAGAGATTGTCAATACTTCATTTAATATTATAATTCACAATTAATCAAATAATTTCATTGAATTAAGTCTCTGATAATCTCCAAATTAAATCCTTATAACATTGCTCTTATATGAATTCTGAAGTATTTTATCTTTATTCTTTTCTTGATGATCATCTATTATTAATGAGTAAAAGATTCTCTTATTAATAATAAGTCTTACTTAAATAATGTTCCGTTTAGTAGAGAAGATGAAAAGTAGAAGAGATGAAAAATAGGAGAGATACACTTTCTATTCTTTAAGGATGAAAAGTAGGTATGATACACTTTCATTCCTTTTTTTTTAATTTTTTGTTTTGTGCCGGCAAAGATTACGGGTGACAATCGAGTTATGTCGTGTCAGATTTGTGTTGAGTTGAAAATTTTCATCTCTAGTTAAAATAATTTTTTTTATTTTTATTTTTTAATTATTTTATTGTTAATTTTTTTAAAAATATATATATAGATATATATAAATGCATATTTTATCATTATATTTTTATATGATATTAGTGTATTCATAATATATAGACAAATAAGATACATCTTAATACAAATAATTAACTTTTCATCTACTTTTTTTCTGATTTTGGAGGAATTAATTTTGGTGAGTATGAAAGAAAGTTAATCTATCCATTTTTTCATCATTCCTTATTAAACATGATGTTTTATTTATTCTTCCAACTTTTTATCCTTCAATCTTTTTAACTTTTTATCCTTCAATCTTTTTAACTTTTCATCCTTTTGTTTTTTCATCGTACCAAACAGAGTGTATTTAAAGAGATTTCAGCCCGACCTACCTTTTTCCCACCAGACTCGGCCAATGAAGTGTAGACTGCCAGTGCTTTAGTGGAATCACTCAGGGAAGAATGATAATCATCTAACGCCTGACTCTCAGCAGTTAAGCATTAGTGGAATAACTCGTAGTACATGGAGGGAGCAAACATAAGATCAATAACAATTTTCAGAAACAAAAATGCATATGAATAAACAGGCATGATGATAAACGGGTCATATATTTTCTGTTTGTTTATCAGATTTGGGTGGAATTTAAGAAAAATAGTTTGATAGACCACTTAATATTATGTTTAATTAGAATTTTTAAATCCGAAATTCATATTCCTACCCACAATAAATAGTACATTAAAAATCAAGTATGAGTTTGATGAAAACTATGGAGGGTAGGTTTCAAAAGTGAAAAATTAGATTTGAAGAAAAAAAGACTATTTATCCCAAAATTTATTCTTCTATTCACCTAATAATAGACATCTTGATAAATTAAGTAATATAGTTTAACATGAATTCATAGACCCCATATTTATTTATGTCACTGTGTTAACCCGTAAAAAATGAATTAATTGCTAACTTGATAATTAGGTTGTTAATTATGATTTTGTATAATTGAGAGTTATTTTTTAAAAAGAAAATTCAAATAAATAAATGGATTTGAAATATAAATTTTTAGTGTGAAAATGAGTCAAATAACTATATTATAGGACGTTTGAAGTTGAATAACATTTTAAAAATTAAATGTTTAAAGTGTTAATATACAAATCTGATGAATATGTGTCGTGTTAAGATTTTGGGAAAAAAAAAAAAAAAAGAAATTTTGACAAGTGTCTTGTGATGCAATGTATGCATCACCAAATGACACCAACAAGTGACGTCAAAGCCTTGGAGGCCAGGCAACAAATTGGCTATAAATACCCTTTGAGATAATGAGCAAGCATGAGGAAAAGAAAAAAAAAAAGAAGAGAGAGAGAAAGAGATGAAGGGAGAGAGAAATTTATGAGATTTTGGGATCAAAAATTAAATAGTAAATTTTAGTTTTGATTATTACCAAATTGAAGTGTCTTGTTTGAGGTACTTCGAATTTCTTATTTATTGAAGTTATTAATGATTTTGAAATACGAGGAAGTATATAATATGATTCCATATTTTAAATCTCTTTTCAAAGAGTGTCATTTAATTATCTGAAATTTATATTCTTATTGATTATTCTAATTGATCAAAATTCTGACAAATTTATCAGTTAATTTGTACGTTGGACTAAATACTCTGAGATTGATTGGTACATGTACAAAGTGTACTTGAGGCATAATTGATAAAATGTGATTATGACCCTAAGGGGTGCGATTGTGATTACAACCCTGCGGGCTGTAATAGTTCAATATGAGTATGAAATTTAAATGTCAAAGTGTTACTTGTTATGTCACCATGAGGAGTCGAGTATGAAACTATGTTTGATAGCAGTTGAGTTACGTGACTTGTCCAATGTGATTCTTGATTTCGTTATCCATGATTCTTATCGTCTGAATTATTTGGTATTTGATCATTCGTATTTTTCTTGTTGAACATATTATTTCCTGTCATATTGTATACTTCTCCGCTTTTAATATTTTTTTTCAAGATAATCTCAAAGGAAATAACCAAAATTGATATTTGATGAATTGAAGATGTACGAGTCTTTATACAATTTTTAACTTTGTAGGTTTATTGTGGTGGTGATACATAATTTAAACAAATTTGTTTTTATAATAAGTAGATTATTTTTATTGTTATTTGGAGATCAAAATTGTGATTATAAATTTATTAAGTTAATTAGAACTTTGTCCCCGTATTCGGAGATATTTGTGGTTTATTGTGATCGATTGATTTAATCAAGTAAAGGGTCCGAGAAATCGGACATTACAGTCACCTACCAAACATAGAATTGAATTGAATTTACAATTAAATCCCAAGTAAAAATCTCTTGGTTGGATTTGAAGGGATTTCTTAATACCAATCCAATCTCCCCTCATGATCATCCAAACACGACCTGTAAGCATTCGAAAACCTCCAGCAAAATTTATTCACAGTGAGAAAAGCAAATTTGGAGCTCATCCGACTTACTATGTAATGGTTTTGAGGATTGAACACTTGTATGAAACGACCAAAATAAACTAAAATTCTCAGGTACTAACTAGCTTGAGATTCATTTTTCTTCTCTGATTCCTCTGCTTTCGGTGACTGGTGATCGATGCATGTCTTGCAGGCTGGATCAGGGAGGTCGTCTGCGAGACTAATTCTAAATGTTTGCTGCTTCTCTTCATTTCCAGGAACATGGAGGAGAGCTTCCATTATAAGGATATCCCAGTCACGGGGCCGCAAAAATGAAAACCAAGTGTCACCTGTTCACAACATCGATGCAGGTTATGAATGCAGAATCAATTTTTTAAGCCAACGGGGTGCAATTTATAACTTCTTTTTGTTGTTCGTTTCCCTTTTCTTTCTCTGGGTTCAATGAAGATGGTGATAACATTCATCTCACCAAAATTATCTTTCCGGGACTCTTGAGACTTCCCAACAAACCAAATCCAGACAGCCTAGTGGATCTAAGGACCATTAAGGCAGAGATCAATATTGTTTGTATGGTGCTGAAGTTTTGGGCATATAATCATGAGTGGTTGTAGGTATGAAAGAACTTAAGGAGGAAGAAAAGAAAGAGAAATCCACACAAAGCTACACAAAAATAGTACCAACCTCCATTACGAACTGCCCTCAACTGAAAGATTCCAGTGCCTTGCGGTCCAGAAACAGGAAATGTACAAGATACAGAATGCCTCTTGTGAGCTACTGCAAGTGATGCATTGTACCAAGGACCTCTAACAATAGGCTCCCCAATAGCATCTATCATTGCCTTGTTCTTACTGGCTTTCTCAATGGCTTTGCTGCAAGAACAGTAACAACAACAAGAATAAAATTAAAACGTGCATGCAACTCACTGATATCAGTTTCAACTTCCACTGCCACTAAAATTAAGCTGTCAGACATAGAATAGGATTACATCTTCTTCATGTTCTCCCTAGCTTTCTCTATCCGTCTATCGAAAGATGGGATACATCAGATTAGAAAATATCTTTGAGCAGCTTCCTCCAATCTCTTACACACACAAACCCCATAGCTTAATCTTCTATTTGTTTGCACAAATGACAAAGATTGATACTAATTATTAAACTCTTTAAAATAGAGGTGAGTAATAAAGGTGTAAAATCTAACCCTCGCCTAAATTAGAAAATAAAAAAAAAAAAAAACAGAAAGAAAGAAATAAGAATGAAGGTAGCCTCATGTAGATAGAGAGGCACACCAAGGCAAGACAAAAACTTTGATAGTTCTACTATGGCCACCAACAAGAGTGATGGCTGAAATAGCATTGATTAATTGTAATATATATATAGCAGAGGCAAATTGAGTACCACATCCCATTTTATGGCCTCACAAAGTCACATGTAAGGTTTAGGAGCCTCTCCATCCATAAATAACAAGTTTTGAGTTGGACACATCGAACATAGTACCAAAACAAGGTCTTGGGTGGTCAAAGGGCTAAGTCATTAATCCATTTAGATTCATTCTTGGTTTGCATCTTCTCTGTCTGTTCGGTACTGTGTGTCCATCCGTACATGTATACGTGATCCCAAGCCACATGTGAGATAGGGCATAGAAGGCTGCAGGCAGAAGAATTCTACCCCATATCCCTTTTCTTGGGCCTCTCAAGTTTACATGTAAGATTAGGATCTCCACCCAAGCTATTTGGTTGGAGCCAGCGAATATGAAAATATCTCATATAGTTTGCCTGAATGACGTCTCTATTTTATTCAAGCAGTTAGAATTTAGATAAGCGGCTCAAACACAAAGAAAGATAACCAAAAATATGAATTCTAGCACAGACAGAATCAACGAGATATGATAGAACAACACTATGGCCTCATAGACACAACAGAACTTCTTATGTTCAATACCATTTGCATATATAAAAGAGCAGAAAAGGTACGAGAAGCCCAAATATGAATCTGATGGCTTAAATCATTTTCAGGGACCAAATAGCACTTATATTGAATACTAGCAAACTAGATTATTAACCCAAGTTGTTCATTATTGTTGGAAATTCGTCATCATCAATTCCACCGTCCTATCAAACAACTACATCGATTTCATTGACAAATAGGCATGGCTGTCAAATATAATTCTAAATTTACCTGCTACAGCCATGATAGATGGCAAGGTCATCGAGAGCACTCAAAGCGACACCACCCATTAGACAAATCAAGGCGCCCGACACCACCTTACGAACACCCCATGATCTGGTAGTCCCTTCCTCCACCGACTTCGCCGAACTGCTTAACAAATAAGCCGATTTCATTTCAAGTAATCGGGTATGTGAGTTAGAGATCATTTACAATTATAATTCAGTAAACACCACAAATGTACGATATATCAATGTCTGTGCCTCAAATGTCATTATTTCAACAATTTATAGTAGAGAGAGAGAGAGAGAGAATTTGATGGAGAGCAGCGACAGGGGTTACCTCGATACTGGTGATGCTGGATTCCTCTTCAGAAAGGAGATTAACCTACTCATTCTTTGCTTCTCTCTCTCTTCCCGGAACTGGAACCCTAGAAAGGACAAATGGTTTCGACCTGTTTTGGTGACTGTAATCAATGGCGGCACCGTTTGGGACTCAACAACTCAACCCGAACTTTGGTAGTTAACAAGCATAAAAATTAAAAAGGAAAGGGTAAATTACACTGACACCCTTTATTATTTCTGACATTTTCACTACACCTCCTGTTATTTACACAATTACATTGACATCCCCTTTCATTGTAATCGCAGATTGATATCATAAAGTTACAATTTTGCCCTCTCTTGTTTTATGTATATATATATTTTTTATGTTTTTTTCTTTTTAGTTAGTATACAGTTTCTCACCGCACATTTTAATGAGTCAAGCCCAAGGCCCCAACTCATGTTACAAGACTAAGGACCCAACTCATGTTACAAGTCTAAATGGTCAATTCCAAGAGGTCCAGCTAGTCAAGTCCAAAAGAATCTGCACCTGGACAAGCTCATCAAGGTCAATGGGCTACATCAACAGGGGGCATGCAAAAGTTATCTAAGAGCTTCATCTACCATCTTGGAGTAAGGGTCACCAGGAGTAGGGGTGTTCATGGGCCGGGTTATCCACGGGTACCATTACTAGGCCCGAAAAAAATAGGCTCGAAACCTGATAGTTGGCTCGCCCGAGCCCAATATCCTTAAAAAGAGGGCTTGAGTTTGCCCTCAAACCCATTATCCGGCCCGAAGCCCGGCCCAAAAGCTCGCCCGTCAAGCCCAACCCACCTACCCACTATTTCTTTGAAAAAAAATTATACTTTTAGACCATTAAATTTGAAACTTTGAAATAAGTTTCCTAATATCGAAATTTGAAGTTTTAAAAATTTAGATATTATAAATAATGTATTATTTTTTTCCCATGTATTAAACATATAAGTTTTAAATAGTAGATTAATGCAAATCACAGATAAGTTAGTAGGTGTCAATCTAGTTGAAATTTATTCATTCTATTAGATATAATTCATTATTTTATTTTTATCCATTTTGACTTTACTTTTGATTTAAAAATAAAATTTATACAAATATTAAGTTATAAAAATATTCATTATTTTAAAATAAATATGTATATAAAAAAACCCGTAAGCAGGCCCGCCCAATAGGCTTACGGGTTGGGCTGTGGGTAGCTTACCTCTACCCGAAGCCCGGCCTGGCCCGGCCCGCGCCTGCCCGATAACTCACTTGAGTAAGGGCTTGGGCCTACACTACTCAGGCCCGGTCCAGAAAAAAAATTTGCGGGCCTAGCTCGGCCCGGCCCATGGACACCCCTAACCAGGAGTCTTCTCCTCGCCGCCTTGGAAAGAGTCAATTCTCACCGCATCCTTTGACCAAGTCTCATGAAAAGCACCTCAACCTCCTCGCCCGTTGAGAAGAAGTCGTCAGGTCCACCAGAATAGTTATTTAGTAATTATTAAGTCGTTTTAATCTGTTAGGGGACGATTATAAATTGTAAGTCTCACTAACACTGAGGGGCAAGAGCATCAAGATCATCACACTCACTTGAGCACAACTCTTTTATCTCTCTCAAAGCGTGTACTCTCTGCTCCCTAAGCACTCCTGAATTAATAAAGTATCAAGCGACCCTAGTTATTCAGAAAGTGGACGTAAGTTACATTGACCAAACCACTATAATTCTCGTCTTCTTTCTACTTTAATTACTCCATTTATTTACTCATACTTGACAGGTGGTGCGCAAGTCTAATTTGTGCATCATCACATTTCACCAAAGACAAAAGCAACTCATAACACACCATGAAGCTTCGGAAGAGATTTTGAAAATAGAGAGCTTTTCTTGTGTTCGTTTGTGTAAAGATTTGAACCCAAACTTCATCTTTCGGTGTTCAATTGCGTCATGTGGACAGAGAGCAAACAGTGAGGTACTATCCATTCTTAGGTATTTATTGTTTAATGGAGAATTAAATGTATGGATCATGTTTGTATGAGTTATTGGGGTTATTTAGGGCATGCATGTAGAAATCTAATCAATGTTTTAGAAGGTTTGGTTTTGCGGTTTGAACCCATATTTTCGTTTCAAATGTTCAGTTAATTTTTTGCTTTAAAGGGTTTTCATGGTAATTTATTAGTTGAAATTATTGAGTTTTTGTCATTGAAATTACGGGTTTGAATTTTATGATTTCAAAAAATCAATGGTAAAGTTTTATATATATGGTATATATATATAAGTTTCCTTTAAAGATAATAGTATACTTTGACAGATAGTTAACCCAAATGTAAGGACACGGTTACGGTACATTTAAGGGGATTTTCAGTCTGGTACCGAAAATTTTTGGCGGCAAAAAACTAAAAAAAATATTGCACAATGATCCAGAAATAGACACGTGCAAAGGAAAAACAAGGCAATCGGAATGACCTGTTGCCACTTATACTGTACAACAATGATGGATGAAAGATGTACCATATCAATGAGTGAGTTACAAAGTTTATGGAATATTTACAATATTACTTGTAATATTTACAACAATAATGGGTCAAATAACAAAGATAATGGTATTCTTACAAAGTCGGTAGAACTAAGTACAAGGGTAATGGTGTATTTACAACATCGATAAGAAATGTAAAAAAATAATGGAATATGTATAAAATTAAAGGTATATTTACAACAAAGTTAAAAAAATTTACGAGTCATAATCTATGGAATGGATGATCGATCATTATGTGGAAAGGTGTTGTGTAAGAAAATAGAATTTTTGAAAAAAATAAATAAATATATAATTTGACCGATCACGAATATGATGATTGATCATAGTGTCTCAATAAGATGTTTTTGCAAAATCATTGCAATGTTAACGATATTAGTAGGTAAAAGAACAAAATTAATGGTATAATTACAACAAAAGTGAGAAATTTTGAAATTCAGTGAAACCAACTACAAATTTAATGGAGTATTTAGTACATCAGTAAGAAATGTACAATACTAATTGGATAATTGGGATAGGTACAAATGTAAAGCTATATTTACAATTATTGTGGATAAATTTACGAGGATATTATAGTTGTTGTAGTCAACATAATGGATCGATCAATGTAACAAATGATAGATCATTATATATTGATCGATCGAATAAATATATGATCAATCAATATGTGATAAGGAGTGGTGTAAGAAAAAGGAAATTTTGGGAAAAAAAAATATATATATATATAATTTGACCGATTACGAATATGAATGATCGATCTTATTTGACTCAATAAGGTGTTTTTACAAAATCATTGTGAGGTTAACAATATTAATGGAAAAATAACAAAATGAATGGTATAATTAAAACAAGAGCGAGAAATTTTGAAAATCAGTGGAACAAACTACAAAGGCAATGGAGTATTTACTATATCAATGTACAAAATTAATTGGGATAGGTACAAAATTAAATATATATTTATAACCATAGTGGATAAATTTACGAGGATAATATACTTGTAGTCAACGTAATGAATCTATCAGTTTAATTTATGATCGATCATTAAATATTGATCGATCAGATGTGGTAAGATGAAGTGAAAAAAGGAAAAAGAAAAGTATTGAATTTGATCGATCAAATGTATATGATGATTGATCATATTGTGACAGGTCTGTAGTCTGAATCATAAATACTAAAAGTATTGTGTGGGTCTGATCGATCGTGTAAAAATATAATAGATCATTAAGTAATAAGTGTATTTGATCGATCATATTGTTGCAAAATTAAGAATTGAATCAGAAGTAATAAAAGTACTGGAGAGAAATGATTGATCGTTAAAAAATTTGATCGATCGAATTAGTTAGTAAATTCGATCGATCAAATATATAAATTGATTGATCATGTTATTGTAGATTTGTCTTGTGAATTAGAAGTAAAAGTACTGGGGAGATTTGATCGATCGAAACAATATTTGATCGATCAAATTATTACAGATTTTTAATGTGAATCAGAAGTAAAAAAAAATACTGGGGAGATTTGATTGATCGTGTAAACCTACTGATAGATCAGTAAGTAGTAAGTTAAATCAATCAATCAAAATTTTATAGTGATCAATCATATTGTTACAAATCATAAATACTGGGGACATCTGATCGATCAATTGTGTATAATGATCGATCATGGAGTTACAGATGGTGAAGTTGAAGGGGCAGTGGGATTGCGATCGATCAAAACTAAATATGATAGATCAAGTATGATGTATTTACTTAAATGCCCATAAAGAGTTATAAATTGAAGTGTTGTAAGGGGGGTATTGTAGTAAATAAACATCGGATGATACCCAAATAAACCCCCAAATCCCACAAAATTACCCCTAAATCAATTACGCCTACAAAACCCATTCCAAATATGACAAAACCTATTCAAAACCCATTCCAAATCCTACAAAAGCCCATTCAAAATCTCCCAATTCCATAAACCCTAAATCGACCACCAGCCCAAAGCTCTTTAATCGATCGATCGGGTACACGAACTACTTCCATTTTGAATCTTCATTCGGAGAAAAGTGAAAGTCACACATTGGAGCTTTGTTGATGTTAGGCGGCGAAGCGAAGAAACGGAAGAAGGTGGTTGCCATGGGGAGTTTTGGCAATGCCAAACTCTTTGTTGATAAAGATGTTAAGAAGAGGTATAATACATTTATTGTTAACATCCTCTGTTAATTGAGCGTGATGTTTACCTTGATGAGTTAGTAGGCAGTGTGGATTGCCCTGAAATACTTAGGGCTCGGAAATGAGAACCTCTATTTGATGTGAATGTGGAAGATATAACATATGTTGAACTGGTTAAGTATTTTTATGCAAATGTTCATGACTAGAAGGAGAATGAGCTGACATTTAAGACAATGGTTAAGAAGATATTCATCACTGTTTCGCTTGATCTTATTTCAAATATATTAAAAATTGATAGACTAGACATTCCTGAAAATTTCATTGTCTTTCCATATTCAAGTAAGGAGCAAGCTCCTGAAATGACGAGGGTTATTCAATG